ATCGAAAGACACACTAGGGAGACCGCCATCTGATCTAAACAGTACGACAAATCCCGATATAGCACATCGCACCATCACGACCCTCATCGGCAACCCACGCGCAGCCTGTCGCCGGTGTGGTGAAGCCGGGCATGCAGCATATGACTGCCAAAACCCTTCGATCCTATTCTGCTGGGAATGTGGCAAACGCGGCACACGAACCGTCTATTGCTGCTGCCAAAGCACGTCGGAAAATGACTCGCGTCCTCGACTGACATGGGATCAGCCGGGAACGACATCTCCCCCCACCCACGCATAAAAGCCCCGCTACACATGAAGGAGAATGGCTACGGATAGTGGCAATGGTGCCACAATCGACACCGGGGCATCCAGAAGTTTCATCAGCGCAAACCTCGCCCGACAACTATACAACAACACGAACCTGCAAGATGCATGCGTCCGCATACGCCTGGCCGATGTCTCCGTCAGAGAGATCTCACAAGTTCTACTAGGGCGCACATCAAGCTGGATCAACGAGAGGTTCAAGTCTCGCTCCTGGTCCTGCCAAACATGTTGGGATAAGTTATTGTCGGCATGGACTTTCTAGGTGCCACCGAAACGACGATCCAATGCGGCAGCACACTGCTAAAGCTACGAGACCATCGCGCCATGCCCACTGAACCCGTGCTTACTACCATCCACGTACAAGACGCCAAACCCCGATACCAGAAACCCCAACAAATCGCAATTAACCCACCACGAACGAACCACAACGAACACGGCACCCAATAAAGCAACGCAGCACTTGACACCCAAACCAATCGCAACGAATACGAAGCAACGGCACACTGCGGAACACGAATCCAAGGTCAACACCAGAAAACCGCAATCAAGCAATCGGGAAAACGAGTCCCACGGTCACTACGGAGCAACCGCGTCCTAGGCCAACAACAGGGAACACGCATCCCAAACAAAACACGAGGATCTCACACACGAGACAAACACCCTTGAACCCGGCGCTCGACACAGGAAGCCCAGGTCCAAGACAAGCAACAGAGCAAGCCCGCACAGAATCCGCAACGGAAGAATTGAACACACGGACACCCTCAAAGCCGACCACAAGCATCGAACAAGGACAACGGCAACCACCATCCGACAACCCAGCAACACGGGAAACAGCCACGCTAACCCCACGCTAGTCGGGGCCCAGAATTGATCTGATATCCTCAGATCCCCTCAACGAGGGCCCGGAAACCAGGACGATGCCCCCACGATTCACCGCCCGCCGCCCTGCCGTATCCACGGCCGACGCCACACCGATCCTCGCCAACACAATGGAGTTCCTTCCGCGTTTTGACATGATTCTTAGCGCCATGCAACGAGCCATGCCTAGAGCCTTGTCCGAGATCTTCGTCGCCCACACAAGTCGTTGGTGCGATACCAGAGGCGTCATCGCGACTCACCTGTTCACGTACCAGTCTGGCTACAAGTCTAGTACAACACGAGTACTACACCCGGCATACCAAAACATCGTACCCATGGTCGACACCACCCCGATCATCGCCCACATAAGCTATTACGACCGGAGGATTGAACCGTCCAGCACATTCGACAGACCCATCATGCCGAAAGACCCGAATCAAACCTTTGACCCCGGAGCCACCACGAACCATGGTTCTAGCCATGGCTCGTCACAAACGGCGGAGTGTCAACGGATCTACGCAGTTCGGGAACCATAATCAAACTGATATACACAGAGCCGACGAACCACGGTTCTCCACAAATAGCAAATGTGCGTCAGCACATCCGGAAAATAAAATAGTTTTAAGCAACGCACGCAATTACTAAAATTAAGAACTCTCGATCAGCGAAACACACAGCACGAAATTTTCGGTCACCCACTTCTTGGCGATATGTCGCAACCACTCGGCCTCGAAACATTGACCCAAATTCAGATATCACCTTTCCCAACTGCAGCCCGCACCTACTGCGATGCAGCCTCAGAAAACACTCTCAGCAAAAACACACTGACCCACTAAGCAATTGTCAACGAAGCACCAAGCTTCGACCCACTTACAACGCCCCAAAATTATTGTCACCAATAATCAAAGTTAGCAATAAGCAATTATTTCCGGGTCTCAGATCGCCAGCTGCATAAAAGGGCCAAGATCGGCCGAAAGAAGAGGCAGTCCATCAGCCCGAACACAAGACACTGCACTAGGCACTCCATCAGCCCGAACACAATACACTGCACTAGGCAGTCCCTCAGTCACACACCCAAGACACTGCACTGGGCAGTACATCAGACCGAAAACAAAAGAGGCCAAGAACACAAGACACTGCACTAGGCAGTCACAAACGTAAAACACCACACTACGCAGTCCACCAGCGCACCATACAACTACAAGCCAGAGTAGCAACATAAAAGAACTAAGTGAATAAAAAAAAAACTGAATAAAACCAAGAACCAACAAAACAAAAACTCTCGCGTCATCATTTCTCCCTTGCCTACTACATTTTCAAGCCAGCCCGACACCTGAAGTCACCTACAATCTACAAATTTTCTTGTAGCGGACCCTGGACAGACTGATGCATACCTAAGCCTGAGATAGGACCTCACACTTTCCAAAAATAACATACAATTTTTCCAAATGTTTTCAATTGGCTTTTATTTAGCCCAAAATATAATTCCAAAACTGGTTCCAAACTAATTTCTTTAGTAATTACACTTTTCTTGATGAACGATATGGTACTGCCAGAGTCTATGAGGCACGCTGAAATTAATGGTGTTATAACATTGTTGCAAAAGAAAATCTTACATAATTGTTGTATGTTACGCTCTTTCTCTCCGGGCATTATCCGACCAGATGTCGAAATGCTCCACAGGCGTAGCAGGATCCGGGCTCCCTTTTTGGTTTGAGGCAGTCCTTGGCGAACCTCGCAAGTTGCAGTTGGCGCAACGTAGGTCCTTGGTCGCCGAAGAATTTGCCAGGTCCCGTGATGGTGTGGCATGCTGCATACGCTTCGGAAGGCGAATCTCCGAAAAAGCACGTAAAATTTGCTTCTGATCGGAGAAGCACTGAATGCGAGCCTGATCTCGCAAGCCCGAAGCCGGAATTCCCTCGATTATCTTCTCTTTCAATTGTTTTTTATCTATTTTGATGTTCCTAGCCAACATCATTTTTTCCTCGAAGTATGTGGCAAAATTTTCTCCATTGGCGCTTATGGAACCTGTCTCTGAGTTCTCCTTTGGTGATAGTTTCCCCGAATGCCACGATCAATTGCTCGCACAGGTGATCAGCTGATTTCACGATGCGCGAGGAATCTGCATGGAGCCAGCGCTGAGCGTTTCCTGTGATCTTGGCAATCAGCAGCATTCGTTTGGTAATATTGTCCAGTTTGTAAATTTTGGGAAATGTTCTCCATCCGTATGACCCAGTTCTTGGCGCACTGTGACCCATCGTATTCCATAGTCACTTCCTTTGCTAACGTAAGGGATGCTGTCGGAGATCCCCATATGTTGTTTACATTTGTGTCTTGACTTTTGGCAACACCGTCTGAGCTGTCGTCTTTTTCATCACTGCTGTCAGGGGTGCTATTAACATTGGTACTGTTAACGCAAACGGTGCTGTTGACTGTGGCGCTGTTAACTGTAGCACTGTTATAATTGTCGCTGTTAACTGCGTCGTTGTCTTCGTTGATGACGTCATTGGATTGGCCGACGTGAATGATCTTGTTTACTTCGTCATGGATTTGCCGCAGCATGGTTTTTCCTGTTTCAATCTCTGCGCGCAATTTCATCAGAGCGTCGTACTCGGCTTCCACCGTGCTCAACTGTTCCATGCTTGGAGTGTTTTTCTCCTGCATGCCTAGAGTTGATTTTGCTGCCTCTTCCTCGACCGACGATGCCAAGGTTGGTGCTTCGCCTGCCGCATGCTGATGTTCCATTCGGTCGATCGAACCTTCTGGTGGATCGCCGCATGCGTTTGGTGAGATTGCGCTTACGCGTGCGATCAGTTCGGCTTTGGGACCTTGAGTTGGTAGCCCGAGTCCAGCCAGCCATCTCTTTAGTTGCGCTGACGAGAATTGATTTTGATCGATGTCGCACATTGTGAGTAAGACCCACTAGTGAGATTGAAGAGATAAAACACGGCTATGCACTTTTTCTTTTACTCTTCTTCGACGAACACGTCTTTTCTTCTTTAATCCCTCTTTTCGATTGCCGTCGCGTCGATCTTTTTTCTTAAGAGACCTTACATTCGGTATTTCTTCAGTGTGACCTTATATATAGGGGTTATTTACATACGATAGGTCTGCCGTATTGGCAGTGGGTTAATATACATAGGGGCTGATAGGGGTTATCCTAACACAACTTTTAGCAGTGTGCGAGCGAGAAAGAGAATGAGTAGCTCTCTGGCTGAAGTAGACAGGGGAAGCAACTGAAAATTAATTTCTTCATTCTGGCTATAATTATGATCCGATCCGATCCGGCAATCTGGTAGAAATAGTCATTCTCTACGATACTGCGTTCTTAGTCTTATTGTATCTTTAAAATTGTGCCTGCCACAGATTTTCGTCTTTTATGGTGGCGGAAGGGGGCGGGGCGAAATTTTGAAATACACTTGTAGCAGTGTGATATCACATGAGTCTGGAAACAACATTTTGTTGCTCTAGTTCGTATAGTCTCTGAGATCTACACGCTCATCAAGACGGACAGACGGACGGACGGACAAAAGTACGGACAGACGGACATGGCTAGATCGACTCGGCTATTGATGCTGATCGAGCACATATGTACTTTATGGGGTCGGCAACGTTTCCTTCTCTGCGTTGCACACATCCACTTGTACCACATATACAATATACCCCTTAACTCTTTTTTGAGTAAGGGCATAACTATCTGAATATCTATAGATTTTAATTTTTTGTATCTAAGTAAATCCAAAAGTATTTCTGTCTTAACAAAATTATAATGTAGGTCTTTATTAATTTTTAAACTAAAAATTCTATACATTTTCTAGGCATCTTAATTCGGAACATGGATTGGATGACCGGTCAACTGCTCAAGCTCGTGTACAAATGCAAGTTGTTTCTCAATTGGAGTCTCACCTTCAAAAAGAAAGAGATCGCTTGCAAGCTATGATGCACCACTTGTATCTTTCTAAGCAACTTTTATCGCCGACAAAGTCGGATCGAAAGGTATTTACTGAGATCCCAATTACTTCATAATTCCATATTTTTTTATTCGAATGAGCGTCGCGAACTATCAGATATTTATATTCATACTAGTGCACCCGGTGAACGTTGTTTTGCCCCATTTTAGCGCCTTCAGGTAAACTCCAGATTGCTTTTAAAAAAATATTTCAAATTTCAATATTATCCGCTATGTTACAGTTTTCGTAAAATTTTGCGATTATGATTTTGGAACAATTCGTGCAAATTGAAATTGTGTGCGCTCCAGCTATCGTACTTTTTTTCTATCGATAGTGTTTCATTCCCAAATTGCTCTGCTATATTTGTCTTGAAAAAATCATTGATTGCTTTGGAAATGGAAATATATTAGATAAATATGCCATTGTTTTGGCCATCGCATTATATTATACCAAAGCTAAACAAAAAATCTGTGAATTAAGAACAGAAGACATTTTTCCCCTGTCCGACGAGGACTGTGGCGATCTCTTCGGCGGTCAAGAGCGCGCTGCCTAACGCCCGTAGGAGTAGGCTCTTTGCAGGCTCTTTGCACATCTGCCTCCCATAGTCCTCCTTGGAAAGCCAATAAAAAAGAGTCAGTAGTCAAGTCTGATACAAGTTCCAAGTGAACCGCTTTATAGGACTTGTATGGGGGCCTTTCTCAAATTTTCAATGTCGTCTAGACCGGTCCACAAAAATCAACGCCGCAAATTAAAATGCTGTCAGCCAAACTGGATATGTGCTCACCCCTTTTAACATTGAAGATATATCTAGCTACATTATTGTATGCTACCTTTACTCGGTGCTGAGATGCACTATCACAATTTCCAAAAATTTCAATATCATAACACAGCGTGGGTATTAGATATGTTTTGGCTATCAAGAGTCTGAGGTGTTTTGGCAAAAATTGCTGAGTCAAGGAAAGTAGTCTTATTATACCATACGTTTTACCGGCTGCCTTGGTTACTTGGTCACTCCAGGACAATGTCTTGTTTATGGTGATACCAAGACTAACAGCCTGATCCACATATTCAATTGGCGTGTTATTTATTGATAATTTTGGCAGATTTTCCGTGCTGAGCAACCTTTTGTATATAATAATACATTTAGATTTGAAAGGGTTTAGCGACAATCCATTACAGTTGGCCCATTTACTAACGTTCGACAGTTCAACATTACACAAAAATACACACTCATTTATTCTGCTTAACGGACAACTAACATATATTTGGACATCATCGGCATACATATGAAATTTACACTTGGATAACGAACCAGGGAGATCATTTACGTATAAGGTGAAGAGGAGTGGACCAAGGGTTAAAGCTTGGGGTACTCCGCGTCTCACAGGTAAAAATGTTGATATTTCAGTGTCAGTTATCACAGCTTAGCTTCTTCCATGCAGATAGGTCGATATTAGTTTTACTGCAGTGTTAGAAAAATTAAAGAATTTGTTTAACTTAGTAAAAAGCTTTACTAAAGTCCAAGAGTGTCAGAAATGTAACCTTACTATCGTCAAGTTCCTCTCTAATGTTTTCTGTCACATTTAAAATGGCAGTAGTACAGCTTCGGAATGTACGGAAGCCGGATTGTTTATTGCACAATAACGAATGTTGTACTAGGTAGTTATTGATTTGTTGCGCCATGAGAGTTTCGAGTACCTTTGATAGGTAGGGCAGGATAGATATTGGCCTGTAGTCATTATTTGTTTTTGGTACTGGAATTACTTTGGCCAGTTTCCAAATGGGAAATTTGATGTTGCAGTGTTGCATATATGAGTTACATGATTGATTATCCTAGGCAAAATCATTGTAATAAATTTTGGATGCTGATTATCCATGCCAACAGCATTTGACTTAATTTTAAGGACGGAACTCAGGACATCACAGGGAGTTACGCACATAAACCTAAAGTTATTATCACAGTCGGTACTTGTTACGGCGTCAATGTAAGGTTTTGTCATGACATCAGGTACGGTCGATTGCACAAATTTTCTGTTCAGTTCGTTGGCATCAGCAGTAATTTTAGGGGAAGCTTTCAGGTTTCCTATGCCAAGTTTTTTAAGCTCACCCCATCTTTGCTTTGTTTATATTGCGTTGCTGAAATTTTCAGCGTAATGGTGACTTTTTTCAGTTGAGATCATTTTTTTTACTGTCCGTCGTAAAATTTTAAACTGCTGGTAATTCTCAGGAGTCTTTTATCTCTTCCACTTAGAATATGCAATATTACGTTCCTTTATTTTACAAGCAATATCTCGATTGGACCAAGGTTTTTGGCTAGCTTTAAGGGTTTTTTTTTTAAAGGTACATGCCTATCATACAGTGCGTCAATGTACGCTGTGAGTTCCTAGCTCAGGCTGAGGTATGCATCAGTCTGTCCAGGGTCCGCTACAAGAAAATTTGTAGATTGTAGGTGACTTCAGGTGTCGGGCTGGCTTGAAAATGTAGTAGGCAAGGGAGAAATGATGACGCGAGAGTTTTTGTTTTGTTGGTTCTTGGTTTTATTCAGTTTTTTTTTTATTCACTTAGTTCTTTTATGTTGCTACTCTGGCTTGTAGTTGTATGGTGCGCTGGTGGACTGCGTAGTGTGGTGTTTTACGTTTGTGACTGCCTAGTGCAGTGTCTTGTGTTCTTGGCCTCTTTTGTTTTCGGTCTGATGTACTGCCCAGTGCAGTGTCTTGGGTGTGTGACTGAGGGACTGCCTAGTGCAGTGTATTGTGTTCGGGCTGATGGAGTGCCTAGTGCAGTGTCTTGTGTTCGGGCTGATGGACTGCCTCTTCTTTCGGCCGATCTTGGCCCTTTTATGCAGCTGGCGATCTGAGACCCGGAAATAATTGCTTATTGCTAACTTATGATTACACTACTCGACAAAACCGAACTTTTTTTTTCCAAACCGACTTTTTCTGATAGATTTGGGGCTTTAAAATTTTTTAAAGAATTATGGTTTTTTTTCTATGGCAGAACTTTTTTTTGAAGAATTTTTGAAGTCTGGTATTTTTTTTTAAGCTTTTTTCAGAGGTAGCGCTTGTTTTTTTCACATAACTCTAGTATCTTTCATCTGGTTGTTAAGAACGTTGCTATTTTGAAAAGGTAATTAAAACAGCTAGAATTTAAGCCTAAATACTTTGTGATTTCAGCTTACCGTCTGGGAAATATAAAGCATTTAAATGCAAAAATCATGATTTTTGTGCGGTATTTTTTACGAAATTTTGACTTTAAAAACTCAGGAAAAGTCGAAAAAAAATTATATCCTGTGTTCTCTATTTTTTTGTGTAGAGGTGCATTAATTTGGCGTCGTTTAAGGTATCGCTTATTGTTGAATATGTAAACTTAAACAACGCACTGTGTCTTCTCTATTTTTCTTTCTGTTATGCATTATCCAGCATAAGTAAACGTGTATGTATGAGTCGCAATGAAGCGGCATTCTCTCGTTTCCCTTTTTGATTTGTATTCCGTCTGCCTTTGACGGACATCTTTTTGCTCTTCATTTTTAGTCACAAATAAATACCACAACGAATAGGTTATGGGCCCAGAATTTCTGTCTGCGGCGGTTGAAAGTGATTTTTCTGACTTTCTGAAATTGTAACTCGATCGATTGCGAAAATGGGTTCGTCTTTCCATTCAATCGATAAGCTCGACAATGAGAATTATAGTGCGTGGGTAATCCAAATGAAAAGCGTGCTAATACACTCTGAGTTGTGGTCAGTAGTGTGCGGTCGAGAAGTGAAAAACGAAGAAGATAATGATGCGCAGAAGGCACAGTTTGATTTAAAAGACGAGAAGGCTCTTGCGAGTATTATGCTGTGTATCAAGCCATTCCAGATAAACTATGTGAAAAACTGTACATCTGCAAAAGAAGCATGGAAAGTTCTAGCGGGTATCCATATGCCATCAGGCCCCGCGCGTCGCATAAGCCTGTTAAAGCAGTTGTTGTTCGTAAAAATGAGCGAAAATGAATCGGTAGTGAACCACGTAAATAATTTTTGTGCGATCGTGGAAAAACTGAAAGAAATTGACTTATCAGTTCCTGAAGAAATTTTGTCTATTCTGTTGCTATCGAGCCTGCCCGAGGCCTACGAAAATTTTGTGGTAGCAATGGAGACACGTGATTGTTTGCCAAATTTGAACTCTCTGAAAGTAAAGCTTCATGAAGAAGGAGACAGGCGCAAGGCAAATCAAGAATGCGCAGAGAAAAGTGAACAACGAGCGTTGTGTGAAAAACAATAAAGGCGTCGCCATAATGGTTGCAAAAAAGCAGCACGGTTTGTTCTTGTTCCAAAATCAAGAAAACAAATGCTTAAATGTACAGACAAACCCAGTAAACGTGTGGCACGATCGTTTCGGAAATTTAAACTATGCAAGCCTAAAAAAGATAATGTGTGAAAAAATTGTTAACGGTATTAAAACAAGTCCATTAAATGACATGAACGGCCAGGTGTGCGAAACCTGTGCAAAATGCAAAATTTGTGTAAAGCAATTCCCAAAAGCTAGTGCAAGCCGTGCAAACCATGTTCTTGGATTGGTGCATACTGACATTTGCGGACCAATGAATAAAAACTCCTTAGGCGGAGCTCGGTACTTCGTAACATTCATCGATGACAAATCGCGCTATGTGTTTGTTGATTTTCTGAAGACAAGAGACGAAATCTTAGTCAAGTTCAAACAATTTAAATCATTCGCGGAAAATCAGTCGGGAAAGAAGTTGGTACTCTTGAGAAGCGATAACGGTCGCGAATACTTGAGTGACGCGTTTGAGTCATGTCTTGTTGACAACGGGGTAAAAAGACAATTAACTGTGCCTCATACCCCCCAACAGAATGGTGTCGCGGAACGAGCCAATCGTACATTGGTAGAAATGGCCCGCAGCATGCTCTTTCATGCAGGATTGGACGAGCGATTCTGGGCAGAAGCAATCAAAACTGCTGCATATTTGCGTAACCGTGCAGAATCTTCAACTTTACCTGGCATGACACCGTTTGAAGTGTGGACAGGAAGGAAGCCCTGTGTCGG